TTTCCCCCATCGTCACTCTGCCCCCTCACCCCTTCTGCGCACCTCCCACTGTCACAGTCTGTTTCCGTGTTGTACTACCCAATAACTTTATGACAATGACAGGCTTGCTCACCGTTGCTGAAGGTTATTGGAAAGCCTGTTGGACAATTAGCTCTTTAAGAGCGTTTGATGCCACCATCTTATTTTTGGGAGTTCATTTGGTTATGTGGTACGTTTGCCAACTGGGACTTGTGGTGAGATGGTCATAGAAACAGACCCTTCAGTCCAGATGGGCCTAATTTCACACTCACCACTTGATTATTGCCAGGTCGACCTTGCTGGTTGGCTGGGCCATGGTGATGGTATATGGTTGGTTTGTTTGCCTGTTACTGGGGTATTTGGCAACCAAAGCTGATCAGGTTACCCAGAGATCATCGAAAGTCTGTAGCCCACAGTACTAGAGTGGGTGAACCCTGCAGTCTCAGATGGTAATTAAAGTTGCTTTACTCCGTTGACATTAAATAATTTTGTAACCAACTTAAAAATTGTTGAACGGTTTCTCACCTTTTTAAAGCATCACACAATCTGCAGCTGAAATCTGTTGAGTCACCCTGTTGCCTTCCACTCTGAAAGAAATAAACTGAGGTTGGGGGGAGAAAAAGCAAGGGTAGTAGTAATAGTAGTAGTATCCCTAACCCTGAACCAGGAGGCCCTGATTCAAGTCCCACCTGCTCCAGAGGTGTGTAATAACATCTTTAAACAGATTCATCAGAAAAATAGGATAAAGCAAACCCATGGGGGCCCCTCTTGTGGCACAATGGTAGTGTCCATGAGGATCCAAGTCCCACTTACTCCAGAGGTGTGTAATAACATCTTTAAACAGGTTGATTAGGAGAATTAAAAATAAAGCCTTCCACTCTGGATGTGTTGGTGCTTTGAGGAGCCATGCAAAACTAAAGATCCTGAATTGGATTACTGATCTGCAATGAATAACTGGTTTCAGACAGGACTGGCATTTGGACTGGGCATGTTTGTGTGGTTTAAGACGTGGAGAAGTTCACAAATGACCAACTGTCCAAGGTCCCACTGTTGTTGCTCTTTAGAAACCCTGACTGGAAATTGGAGGATGCATAAAAATAGAATTGGTCTGGGCCATGACAGCTCCCACTGTTGATTGGTTCACCAGACACTCATTGCAAATGACCACTTGGTCTAGTTGCTTGGGAAATAGTGTCCCAGGAAGAGTTAATCCTCATAGAATCCCAATAGCGTGGAAATAGGCCTTTTGGCTCAGCAAGCCCACACCGACCCTCAGAGCATACCACCCAGACCCATTTCCCTAATCAACACATCCCTGAACACTACAGACAATTTAGCGTGGCCAATCCACCTACCCCGCACATCTTTGGGCTGTGGGAGGAAACCAGAGTACCCAGTGGAAACCCACACAGACATGGGGAGAACATGCAAACTCTACACAGACAGGCACCCAAAGGTGGAATCGAACCCAGGTCCCTGGTGCTGTGAGGCAGCTATGCTAACCACTGAGCCACCATGCCACCCACAAGTATCTTCAGGAAACCAAGACCATGATTTGTGTGTTAAAAGCCCAAATGTTCAATTATTGGAATTACTTGCCTTTAATAAAATGACATCACTTCAGTAAAGCATTTTAGAATTGTGTAGTTTAACTGCGTCTTTTGAATAAAAATCTACTGTATGTTTAACCTTTCTCACTTGCACCAGGAATGAGCATGTTAGCTGAACTATTAGAATAGAATAACAATTCATTGTCACTTGTATTTATGAAAATACAATGAGATGTGTATAAATCGCCACAATTTGGGACCATTTTAATTACAGAAGTCATAAAAAGTAGTAGTTAGGACAAAGTTCATCTTTTGCTTCCTTCATGGCAATCTGGGTTTATGGAGCGGGAATGTGACTCCACTGCTGCCCCTGAGGCTGCCAAGGCAGGGATTTCCAGACCGGACCCACCATGCTGCCATTGCTGAAGCCACTGCATTGCTGCCACAGCAAGGAGGGACAGACCGGACGCACCGAGTCACTGATGTTGAATCCATCGCCACTTCTTTTGCCAAGTGAAGCTGCCACATTACTGCCATAGCCACGAGGAACGAACCAGAGCCACCATGCCACCACTGCTGTGGCCACCCCTGAAACTGGCACACGGAGGAACAGACCACACCCACTGATGATGAAGATAACAAAGTGTAGAGCTGGATGAACGGAGCAGGAAAGCTGACGTTTCGAGTCTGGACCCTTCTTCAGAAAATTTCCAGACCCGACACGTCAGCTTTCCTGCTCCTCTGCTGCTTGGCCTGCTGTGTTCATCCAGCTCTACACCTTGTTATCTCAGATTCCCCAGCGTTGGCAGTTCCTATTACCACTGATGATGAAGCCTTTGATAAAGCCACGACGAGAACGGCCATGAGGAATAGACATCTGGCTCCACCATGCTGCTGCCACCGCCGCCACAGCATCCCCTCGCAACCATCTTCCTCCACAGCCTGAGAAAAGAAGAAAATGTGAACTTTAATTCAAAAGAGGATTAGAGAAATGAAGAAATGAAACAAAGATGCTGGCCAGGTGAGCGGGAACATACAGGCGCAGAGCCGAACACTTCCTACCCTGTCGTTACTGCCTTCTTGCAATAAGTAATGATGATTTCAGGAATGTCACCGGTGAAACCAATTGAGTTCAGAGTAATAGATATTTTGCAGTATCAAAGTGTGAAATAACCTCTGCATTCAAATAGCCCTGTTGCCATCAGGAACTTTTCAGATGTTTCTTGGATGGGGCAGGAAAAGAAAGACACTGACCTAAGAAAGAAGAGCCTCTGTCAGAGACTTAATATTAAATTGTGTTCTGTTGATGGGAACTGAAGTTTTATTTGACTTTTGTTTACCCTTTATCTCCTCTTCTTGAATTTTGATTCCTTTCTTTCCCTGGTCTTTATATGGGTGTTGGCCCCTTGCTGGGTTGTAGTTCCATGGATAATATACATCTTTCGCAGTGTTGTACCCAACCGACCAATACTTTACAAAGAAGTTCAAGGGTAACAAAATGTTTGGCTACAACATGTCCCTTTTAAAGAATGCAGTATGATCATCTGGCAGAAAGCTTGCTCGTTATTCTTGTAAGCAGTGTATCTTGTTATATTTTATAAATTGATTTTTGCTTGCTGAGTTTTTGAGAAAATTTTAATTGAGCATCTTAAAATCCTGCTCTATTTTATCTTCTGCAGCCTGGAAACAGATATTTACCATTTATTGAAATCTCAGCTCTCACAGGCTTTCAGCTGTTACTAGGATAATGACGTGTGTGTTGCTGATGAGCTGCTATGACTCTAGGTGATGTTGTTTCTGTTTAGAACTGCATAAGTGTGTGTGAAGTAGGTGGCTTTTTGTAAATACCAGGAGTCCAGCATTTGTGATCAGAAATGGCATTGGTTTCCAGTGCTTAGAAGGATTGCATCTCAAAGAGTGCATATCTTAATTGGGAGGGGCATGGTTTCTGTGAGAGCAAGTTTCAATCCTGTTGAATTCTGGCAAGAATTCAGGGGTCCCTGTGATAGACTTAATTCAGTCAGTAGCTCTGTACAGCAAGAGAAATAAAAACAAAATGAACCTGTGATTGTTCATGCTTGAGTAAAATCATGTTATTGAAACTTCATTCCGTGAGGAAGCTAACAAACCTGGATTGACAGCAGCGGGCATGTGTGTGTATTCTTGGTCAATTTTCCAGTGTTTAGTTTCTCCCGTATCCTGATAATTCTGGGTACAATAATGATGAGACATTAGAAACTATTGTCAAGAGGATTTCCATGACTTATGACAGTCAGATGTGTATAATTTTCCATGGTTGAACTGTTGGTTGCTCAAACATTGGCTTGAGTCTGGGCTTGACAGCAACACAGATTCAGAGTAAGTCTTTGGCTATTGTCTGCGTTTGGTGAAACCTTTAGGATCGAGATAAGACATTTCTTTACTTGAAGGGTTATGAATCTTTGAAATTCTCTGAGCCCGGAGCTGTGGATGCTCTGTCAGTGATTGGATTTTCTTTTTGAATGCTCAAGGAATTAAGGCGTATGGGGATCATGTGGGAACTTGTAGCTGTGGTAAAAGATCAGACATGATTTAATTGAATGATAGAGCTGGCTTATTGGTCTGAACATCTGCTGCTGTTCCTTATTTGCAAATATATTGAGCATAATGTTAGAATTCTAAGATTTTATAAGATGGTGTTATTTTGGGATTGTGTTTTTAATTTGGGAGAAAATGGGGGTCATGTGACCCAGTCTGAATTCTGATGACAGTTACAAAAATAGAATTTGCTGGAAAAGCTCAGCAGGTCTGGCAGCTTCTGTGGAGAGAAATCAGAGTTAATGTTTCAGGTCGAATGACCTTCCTCAGGACTGATCTGATGACAGTAAACCTAGCTAGTTTGATTATTAAAGAGGGTACAAGGTATTCAGGCTTGTAGACAATGGCAAGAACATCTGCAGTGACAATGAATAGACTGTAGGTCTCCAAGTTCGCGTGAGGTATTAAGTATGTTAGGTTAACAGTTTATTTAGTTTCAAGATAGAGTTGGGGTGTTAAGAGGATAGCCAATTAGCAGTAATAGCTGAATACAATGTCACTGTGATTCATATTACCATGGAGATGGTCTTTGAGAGCGGAAGGTTTCTCAGATAGCCCTGGAGCTTGCACACCTAAGTCAGTCTGCCAGGATCTGAGAGCAGATAGAGATAGCGAGTTTCTATGGTTTACCGTGCAGGTGGAAGCTAGTGCTCGGATTGAAAAGACCAAAATTATGGGGATTTAAAACTAGGCTGGAGAATTTACATAGCTTGAGACAGAGAATTGCTAGGAAAATTTACCATGGAAGACAGTTCTGGAATTAAAAGTTACTAGACTGGGAAAGGAACTGTTCAGAATTAAGGTCCCTGAAGCTAAGAATCACTTTGGCTTGCACTTGTAGAATTGAACTTAAGAGACAGTGTAAAGTATGCCTATGAAATGAGTTTGTGTTCCAAGTAGGAAGGGAAAGTTGTATTCAACAGTTCAAACTAAAAGTTGCTGACATAAAAGGTGTTTCGTCAATGTTGCTTTTATGTATTTGTTACCTTGTGTGTTTGAAAACAAATATGGTATCTGACATTATTTCAGCTGTTTGCTGAAAGTTGAAATCTCCTTTGAAATATCATTGGTTTCTGTAGGGAATGTCACTGCGTCAAGGTAGGGTATAACTGGTGGGAGCAGTTTGAAGTAAAGAATTAACTGCATCACTCAAAACCGGTATCTAGGTGAATACACCTTTTTTACAGATGATTTAACGTCCTGAGATGTTTTGTGAGAGAGAGCAAGGGTAATTCAGCAAAAAGTAGAATAGAAAGATTAAGGGGAAAAAAGCTAAGTTGTAAAGAGGGTAGGAGTTCAGGAAGTAAATTGAGCAGGTTGGAGGACTGTAGTGATTGTCCCATTACAAAACTGAACATCTCTTCTTTCTCCTGATCTCTGATCAGTCGTGCATGCTGTAGTTCTATTTGAATTTCCTACTCTAACCTTGCTACACTTTATAATCTTGTCTCCTTGTATCACCTCTGTTCTAGGGCAAAAAGTGAAAGCTATTCTTTGGTTGTAAAAACAATGTTTTATTCTTTTGTAGGATATGGGTGTTGTTGGTAAGGCCAGCACTTGGCCATTGCGTCTTGCCCTTGAACTGAGTGCAGATGGCCTAAAAACCCTCCACTTCTTCCTGTCCTGCAGGCCCGACCAGTCCCCCTCCACTGACACCCTTATCCGCCTAACTGAACTCGTCCTCACCCTTAACAACTTCTCCTTCAACTCCTCCCACTTCCTACAGATGAAAGGGGTGGCCATGGGTACCCATATGGGCCCAAGCTATGCCTGCCTCTTTGTAGGATATGTGGAACTGTCCCTCTTCCGCAGCTACACTGGCCCCGTCCCCCACCTCTTCCTCCGTTACATCGATCTTCCACCTATCTGCTCCTCCCACCTCACTAACCAACCCCCACTTCCTACCTACACCCACCTACTAGCTTCATCCCCGCCTCCTTGACCTATCCGTCTTCCCTCCCACCTACCCATCCCTCCTTCCTCACTGACTAACCCCTATCCCAACTCCCTACCTGCACTCACCTTTACTAGCTTCATCCCCACCTCCTTGACCTGTCCGTCTTCTCTCCACCTATCTGCTCCACTATCCACCTTCTTTCACTGCCTCCCCCCTCCTCTCTATTTATTTCAGAGCCCCCTTCCCCTCCCCCATTTCTGAAGAAGGGCCCAGACCCAAAACATCAGCTTTCCTGCTCCTCTGATGCTGCCTGGCCTGCTATGTTCATCCAGCTCCACACCTTGTTATCTTGAACTGACTGTCTTGTGAGGCCATTTCATTTCAAAGTCAACCATGTTGCGGTGGGTTTGGAGTTGCATGTAGTCCAGACCAGGTATGAATGGTAGATTTCATTCGCTAAAAGACGTCAATGAATCACAACAATCGATAATTTCGTGGTCATTGTTACTGGAATTAGCTTTCAATTCCAGACTTGAGTTTAAAGTCTGCAAGCTGCTGTGATGGGATTTGAACACACATCCCCAGAGTTTTAGTTTGGCATCCTGATTTACTAGTCCAGTGATTTTACTACTGTCCTTAGAACAGTGTTCCTTCATCTTTCACCCTTGTCCTTCATGGTAAATATTTGTCCATCTTACCTCCAGGTCTGGTCTACTTAGGTGTCCGCACTCAGTGGTTGACTCTTAATGTCCTCTCAAGTTATTCAGCAATTCGTGCTGCTATCATGCTAATTGGTAGCCAAGGTTTACCCTTGGGAACTAGGTCTGACCTAGGCCGGACGATGGCTCAGTGGTTAGTATTGCTGCCTCTCGGCGCGAGGGACCTGGGATTGATTCCACCCTCGGGTGACTGTGTGGAATTTGCACATTCTCCCCGTGTCTGCGTAGGTTTCCTCCGGGTGCTCCGGTTTCCTCCCACAGTCCAAAGATTTGCAGGTTAGGTGGACTGGCCATGGGAAATTGCTCATAGTGTTCAGGAATGTGTAGATTAGGTGGGTTATGGGGGATGGGTCTGGGTGGGAAGCTCTGAGGGTCGGTGTGGACTTGTTGGGCCAAAGGGCCTGTTTTCACAGTAGGGATTCTATGAAATTTCTATGAAATAACTTCAGTCTTGTTCATCCCGATCCTGACACTAATTTAAACTAGAACAGAAACATGACGAAATGGGACAGCATATGGATGTGACCAAGTGACAATGTAGAATCAAGTGTGACTCAGGGTCAGCTGAGGAATAGAGCCAACTTCTTCCTAGGTAAGAGAATAAAGGACCAAAGATATTAGAGGATCCTCCAGGAACCGGTGGGGGGGGGGTGTAAACAAATCACTACAGCTGCCCCCCAACCAGGAGCCAGAAGGAGCGGAGAATGGCAGTTATGTTTGTACTTGGAAGCTGGGCATCATTTCTTACTGCTGTGTAAGTACTAGTTTGTTTTGGAGGGTGTGTGTGTGTAACTTTTTATATCAGCTTTTGTAAGATTAGACTCGCGTTCTTGCCTGAATTGCCTGTTTTCTGGGTTATAACAATATGTTGATATTTCAACCCTTAACATTTTTTCATTTACTTAAAATGCCTTCCATTGAGTTAATTAACATGGGAATCAACTCTAGACTTTAATGCAAACTCTACTTCAGAAACCAGGTTGGGAATAAAGCTCTTTGGACATGTTATGCTTGTTCTTTGTTTGTTGGTTTCTCACGGCCAGCCTGTGAAGAAAATATCACATTTTTACAACTTTGAATTAACAGCTGTAGCAGCTTGCTGTTGACTCATTGCGGTTCCTTTAAATTCAACGCTTTACACATAATTTTGGACTCTTAGGAAAAAAACTCGCTGCTTTTGATGAATTTACTGCTCACACAAGTGAAGGATATCAGTGTGGAGTTATGGAATTATTCCTCCCCCTCCTCCAATCCCAGCATCCTGAGTTTGTGTCAGAATGCTCTGAGGTTAAGTATAGGAAAATGAGCTTGATGATAAAGCCCCTCAGTAGCACTTGTTGCCTTAATTTCTGATGAGATCCCTCACCTATCCATTGCATCAATTGCAAATGCAAAATTTCTAATTTTGACAAACCATGTTTATGGTTTTTTATAAGGTGTGTCGAGAAATTTAGATCTGTTTATTGTTGAACTGTCCTGTTTCTGTTTGATATTCACGCTGCTCCCGTTCATCTCAGATGGGACTGACTTCAGATCAAATATTGGAGACTTTATCTCATTACTCTGGTTTGGATTTCATTGCAGCAAAAAGAAATAATTTAAATTTATATGGTGCTTTCTATGCCTCGGTGTCTCAGTGACTGTATTCAATGAATTGCCGTTGACAGTAGCTACTGTTGTAATATCGGAAATGTGGCAACAAGATCCTATGAGCAGCAATGAGGTGATGATTAGTTCTGTGTTTTTTTATTCTATGCCAAACTTTAGTCCCCAGACACAAGCCTTCAGCAAAAAAGCTAAAAAAGATTCACTGACTGAAGAAGTGTTTTCTCAGCTATCTGAAATCTATGCAACAATGTTCCTGAGACTTATAGTCATGCTGTCTGGCATTAATGCTCACTTGAACTATTGATGCAGTTACCAATTCATTTTCTGCTCATCTCAAAAAGAAAAGTTGGGAAAAAAAAATCTTTTTCTAAAATCTGTACTCTTTTGCAGGAAGCTTAAAATACTGCCACCATGACTGACTCGAAGTATTTCACCACTAATAAAAAAGGTGGGTTTCTTGTTGTGTAATTCAATCTTGATTATTGTGACTGAACATGCCACCTAGCAAAACCCTGAAGCTTACTGAATTTATGGTGTTTTAAGTGATAGAACAAAGTAAGGAACAAAAACTCTACAGCACAGGAAGAGGCCCGTCGGCCCTCCAAACCTGTGCCGACATATTTTGGCCTTCCATATTAAAAGTGTCTTCACTTACAGGATCTGTATCCCTCTATTCCCTGCTTATTCATGTATTCGTCCAGGTGCTTGAATGTTGCTATTGTGTCTGCTTCCACTACCACCTCTGGCAGCGTGTTCCAAGCACTCACCTCTGTTTGTGTGAAAAATGTGCCTCACACGTCTCTTTTAAACTTACACCCCACCACCGTCGCACCTTGAACTTGTGCCTCCTAGTAATTGACCCATCCACTCTGGGGAAAAAGCCTCATACTTTCCACTCTATCCATGCCATTCACGATCTTATAAGCTTCTATCAGGTCGCCCCTCAACCTACTGCGTTCCAGTGTAAACAAACCCAGTCTATCCAACCTTTCTCCGTAGCTAAATTCCCCCATACCAGGCAACATCCTGGTAAATCTTTTCTGTACCCTCTATAAAGCATCCACATCCACTACCAGAAGGTAGTGTGGTGACCAGAATGATGTGATTGTTTGCAGTATTGCACTTTGGGAAGCTAAAGTATAGATTGTAGGCATGACACAATGTTCTTCATTACATTATCAGCTGAAATGTTGGGAAGACAAAAGAGAGTCTGAGGTGTGAGCCAACAGAAGTGGGTGTTCTAGCTGCTTTTCTGCTAAGTTCCTCTGCTCAGTGCAGCAGTGGTGTGTGTGGCGAAGGAAAAAATGCAATGAAATGTATGAGCCTGCAGTGCTGTAATATTGGATGTGTGCTGTGTATAAAGATTAGTTTTTTTCCAGCAGTTTCTGGCGATGAAGTGGAAAATTATGATTAATAAATGCCCAAAAGGTAGAATTTGACCAAATCTGAAGTTTACAGGGTTTAGATCAATAGTCTGATAAATGTGTCTTCATAAAGATTTAATTTGATACTAGCAAGGAGCACAACCCGTGGATAGATCAGTTGTTATGAATGTGGGCGCCTTGTGCTCGATAGATAAAGATATTCACTTCAGTTGAATTTTTCTTCAGTATACCAGGAACCTTTATGTTGAGCTTTTGACTCTTCAGTGAACAAAGCACATTTCTGCTAAATTCTTTTCGTTCGAGGATTTATGGTGTTGCCATGAGCTTGTCTCTTGCGATGCTGTGTATTTACTAGTGGTGCATTTGGTCTTGTTAATGGCTGGGATGGGAAAACACACAACTTGTTGGTTATTTTTTGCCTTTCCTGATAAAAAAAAAATGCCATATGACATTGTATTAAGCTATTAGATTTCAACATTGGCCTGTGTTGAGGAAGTTGATATTAGCTTTGGGAGGCAGTAAATGTACTATAGCTCCATCCGAACTGAATTAGGAGCTCCCCTAGACTGCTGCACCATACAATAAGATCTTTGCTGACCTGTCTGTAAACTCAAATCCACATTCTTGCCTACACCTGATAATGTTTATCCCTTGCTTAGTAAGAGTCTGTCTGTCTTAAAAATATTCAAGGACTATGCTCCCGCCACCTTTTTAGAAAGAGACTTTGAAAGGCTCTAGATGCTCTGAAAGAAAAATATTCACCTCATGTCTGTTTTAAGTGGGCATACCCTGATTTTAAACAGTGACCCCTAGTTCTAGATTCTTCCATAAGAGGCAACATTCTCTACACATCTACCCTGTCAAGACCCCTCAGGATCACATCTCATTTTGCAATTTGTGCAGTATAAATAGTGTATCTACTGCTTCGTCTTTATCCATGGTGTACGTTACCTCCACCAAGAACTCCAACAGAGTTCGGATGTTTTCCTTTTCAGAAGACCATGTTGACGCTGCCTGCCTGATTTACCTTGAACGTATCCAAGTGTTCTGTTTGAATTTTGTTAATTAGAGTTTCTAACATTTTCCCTATGACAGATGCTAAGCTAACCGACCTGTGGCTTCCTGCCTTCTTTTACCCTTTTTTGAACAGAGGACTGTAGATACTCACAAAAATAGCATTCCAGATTTCAGTTCCTGGTCATTATCCAGGGATTGCTGCAGGATAGTATATGCAGAGAGGTTGATTGATGATGGAGTAAGGGATGACAATGAAGATTTGGCTCTACGATTCAACAGTCTGCTACAATTTGTGTGAATAATGGTGTCCTGGTACCAACGGGTTGGTGATCATTGTGGATCCAGTAAACTCAGGAGAGAAGGAATTAGAGGTTTAGAAATAAAGCGAAGAGACTTTCTGTTTCTATGGCACATGATATTCTGTTTAATCTTGTCCACCTTTTTAATGTTCTAGGAGAGATATTTGAGTTGAAGGCTGAACTGAATAATGAAAAGAAAGAGAAAAGGAAAGAAGCAGTTAAGAAAGTCATTGCTGCTATGACAGTCGGCAAGGATGTGAGGTAAGAATGTGGAATAATCAGCATTTACCTCTGAAGGTTTCTGTCTGTGATCATGGTGAATATTGTGACCTGGATCTTGCAATCCCAGTAGTGGTGAGTGTTGAAAATACTATGAAGCACCACAATGACATCATAACTTGTAGGGAGACTATTTACATTCAAATCTGGAATGTGGAATTAAGCTGTGCTTAATTCTGCTGTTTGGGTAGCCTGGCATCTCCTCCGCCTGGCTCCACATCCTGCCAATGTTAGACACAGCTCTCCGTATAAGGGTAAAGCAGGGGTTGCTTGTGAATGGAAGGGAGGAGGAACTACTGGGAGAGCTACAATTGAAATTACATCAAATGAAAATTGAAAATCCTTTAGAACTACTCGTTCTAGTTGGTCATCAACCAGGAATGTTAACTTTCTGTCCAGAGATACTGCCTAACGTCACGAAACAGGGATAGCAAGCCAGACCAAATCAGACTTGCTAACACTGGATTTGCAACACAGTGAAATTAAAACGTTCAATGATCCTTAATTGCCCAATTCAAACAATTTATTATTAATACTGTAACTTTAGTAGAGCAAAGCTAAATGACAAGATGATCTAATTAATGTCCGATTTAAACCAAATCTTCTTTGATTGTAACCCCCGCTCTTGCAGACACACCCACACAATTAAGGACCAAATTTAAAAAGCAAGTGGACTGTAATTTGCCAGTTTGATAACCGTTTCAACAGTGCATACCATGTCATTATGGAATCCTCTAATATAATGCATCATTCCAAACACGAAGGCTTGTAGAGAGAATGGAATTCAAGCACAGTTTCCTAGTCCAGCAGCTTCCAAGCACCCAGTCTTCTACAATTGCCCGCTCCACCTCCCAAATAAAAACTAAACCCAATCAAAAACCAGTTCAATCTATGGTTTCACTTATCTTTCAAACATCTCCTGTGGCTGGCTGGCCAGTACCAGCCTCGCCTTGATTGACCAGTACAAATAGAACTGGCTGTCAGTCCTTAACACATTCTGATGCCAAAATGTCTGCAGTGTTCCTGGAGACATAATTAACATGTAGTTATCTTTCCAGGCCAGTTCCCATATGTGAACATCAGTTTGTTTGTTCATTCTTCTTAAAGCAAGTTGTTTAAAATTCAGTTCTCAACTTCAGCGCTCAGTTCCAAATCGAAAGTGAGAAAAATAAAGAAAAGCAGTGATGATCTTAACATTAAGCTACTGAGTATTTCCAGCATTTTATTTTTATTGAACACCGTTTGTGTATCTTTGAGCTGAAGATGGACCTCCGTGCATGTCTTCAGCTCTTAATTGACAGGGTTGACAGTCGGAATCTTTTTCTCAGAGATGAAATGCCTAATACTACGGGGAATGCATTTAAGATAAAAGGAGGAAATTTCAAAGGAAATATGAGGGGCAAGTTTTTTTTTTTTACACAGCAATAGGTGTCTTAAATGCATTGCCAGGCGTAGGGGTGGAGGCAGATTTGATAGGGGTTGTTAGATAGGGACATGAATAAACAAGGAATGGAGGGATATGAATCATGGGCAGGCAGAAGGGATTAGGTTAATTTGGCATCATATTCAGCACAACATTGTGCGCGGAAGGGCCTGTTCTTGTGCTGTACTGTTTTATATTCCATTGCCAGAATGGCTGGCTTCACAAGCGCTGTGCTGCTTGGCCTTTCTACAACCTTGCCTGTTGGAGCAGGTTCCTGCTGCAGCTTACACTCAAAAGTAGGGCTATAGGTCTTCAAGTCAACTACGATTGTTCTGAATCTGATAGTGATAAGGTTAGAATGTCAATGGCAGAATTATTTGGTGCTGTGAGTTTATGCTGATGAGTTATTGAACAAGGCTATTGTTAAACTTCTTTCTCATAGGAGAGCAGTCTTGGTTGAATTTGAGCCTAGCTGTCTGATGAAAGAATAGTTTGCTATTGTTTGTATATGCCTGCTTGTGTCTGTATTTCGATTTCACATCCTTTTTTTTAATTTGCTGAGCTGTATTTTGTCAAATGAATTGTTGAGTATGAATGGATGTTGGAATTGTTACTGTTTCAGTCCATTATTTATCCATGATCCTGATTATAGGAGAGGAAGGTTGTAGCTGTCTGCTTTTCTTCATATACCTTACAATTGTGGAAATCTTCCCCATGAAGAGTTGAGAAGTGTCACAATCTGTAGCAAGCTAAGATTATAGTGAGAGATAGTAAGAACTGCCGATGCTAGAGTCAGAGATGACACAGTGTGGAGCTGGAGGAACATAGCAGGCCAGGCAGCATCAGAGGAACAGGAATGTTGACGTTTTGGGTCGGGACCCTTCTTCAGAATGTTTTGTTTACCATTTGCTTTCACTTATATCCTTCAGTTCAAGCTCCTGTTGATTAGAAATCAGACTGAGGTACATATTGCTCTTACAAGTTGGGGTTGAAGCTCAGATTAGTGAGGAAGGGTGGAAGAGGTTTAACTGCAGGATGAACTCCGGTTTTTGCTGCTTGGCTGAAGGACCTGTTTCTGCATATCCTGTAAAATTTACAAATATCATCTGGAGTCTCTAGCTGTAGTGAGGCAAAATCGAAAGAGAGGGACTGCTTCAACTTCAGTGGGTGAAATTCTACTCCTCTGCCTAATGTTGATAGAAAATCTTTGACTATATGCATGATTGTTATGGAAAGCAAAATTATCACAGGTATTATAAAGTGATCTGAGATTAAGGGTTGCGCATCATTCTTTGGCTGGATAGAAGGAAATGGTGATTGGTTGAATCTGAAAAGTAAAATAAAAATGTTCTTTATCTCAACTGAAGTAGTTTGAATATTCATTGTGGGAATGTGAGTGTTTCTGGCATTTATTTCCATGCCACGGTTGTCTTGAAGGCGATGAGGTCCCATTTTTGACTTGCTTGAAGGCTTGACACAGCTGAATAACTTGTTAGGCCTTGTCATAGGAGAGTTAAGTGTCAGCCCTCTTGCTGTAGGACTGGAGTCATGTGTAAGACTAGATGGTGCAGTAGCAGCAAGTTTCTTTCTAAGATGAACCTCACTGAACCTGTTGAGCATTAAGCATTTTCACAGCAAGCTCTTTATTTCCAGACTTCGCGCTGAATATCAGTTAATTAACTTGAAATGAAATATTCACCAAACCATAAACATTTAATAAAAGGATATTTCCATTTTTTTCCTGTGCTGAGGAGAGGGAGTTTGCTTTGTGGTTCCAGATGATGTGACTGGGAATTTTTCCAGATTCCTGTGGTGTTGTTTGTGACAGGTTGGAATCAGTGTGTCTTGCCAGCACCGTGTTGCAATATGAGATTGCAGCTGCAATAATGAAGTGTTTGCTTCCTGTCAGGTAACCTGAAGCTATGCAGCACTTGCAGCATGCAGCAAATTTGCAATTACATTGGTAGCATTAGCAGTACGGATTGCCAAGTTATTGTTTAGCAACTATGACTAGTGGCTCGTGATAGGATAATTCTATTGCGTTGACTCCAGCTGCTAGTGAAAAGTTACATAGAAACATATATATGAATGAAGAACAAAAGTAGACCATTCGGCCCCTCAGGGCTCCTTTGCCATTTGATCATAGCGTCATACAGCACAGAAACAGACCCTTTGGTCTAACTACTCCATGATCATGGCTGATCTGATTGTGTTCTAATTCCACAATCCTGTCTATCTCTTTCTCTCTATCTCTCTCTCTCTCTATCTCTATCTATCTCTCTATCTCTCTCTCTCCCCCTCTCTCTCTCTGTGTCCCTCTCTCCCCCCCCCCATCTCTCTCTCCCTCCCTCCATCTCTGTATCTCTCTCCATCTCTATCTCTCTCCCCCTTCTCTCTCTCTCCCCCCCCCCCCTCCCCTCTTCTCTCTCCCTCTCTCTCTCTCTCTCTCTCCCCCTCCCCCTCTCTTCCTCTACGTACCTCCGGCTTAAATTTTCAATGACCCTGCCTCCACTACCTTCCGAAGCAGAGTTCCAAAATTGCAAAACCTAAGGAAAAGAAGTCTTTGTATCTCTGTCCTAAAACCTGGAAAAGCTACATTTACGTGTACGGTCTTCTGTCAAGGCGAGAATGTTATCCCCTATATCATGGGCTCCTATTTTGAGTCATAATCTTCTGTGTTGCACCTTCTCAAATGCCTTCTGGAAGTTGAAGTACAGGACATCAACAGGCACCCCTTAATTCACAATGCATGTTACTCCCTCAAAGAATTCCAATAAATTGGTTAAATATGACTTTCCTTTCACATAACTACACTGACTCCTCTTGGTTACCTTGAGGTTTCTTTCATGTACTCCTCCACTACCCCTTAATGATCAATTCTAACAACGACCCCTTGACAGCTTATTATTTTTTAGTTTTCTGCCTCCCATGAATAGAGGGGACTATATATATGATCTTCCAATCTAAAGGAATTTTTCCAGAATCTGATGAAGTTTGGAAGATTACTACTACCACATCTAAGGAAGTTAATTTAGTAGGACCCAGTATTGACTCTCAACTTCATCAATTTACTCAGTACTACTTCCCTGATAATTAGAATTTCACCAAGTTCCTCTCTTTTTTTCAATTCCTGATTTTCAGATATTACTGATGTTGTTTGTGTTCCCAATAGAGAATACAGAAGTAAAATACTTGCTCATTTCATCCACAATTTCCTTATCTACTATTAACTCCTCTCTGAACTATTCTGTTCTCCAACTTTTTCCAGCTGATTATTTCAGGTGTATAACATCATTATTGTTCAGAGATTGGTTTAATATATGTCATCTATGGATTGTGATTGATTAGAATTCTGTTCTTTTTCTGTGAATAAATTGCTCAACTCTAATCCAAAATGATACAAGATTTTGGTATGGATAAATTATTCTGAATTGGCTGCTTTGTTTCAGATTTTTTGTTTGTTTTTAATTATCTCTCACGCATACCCAACTACTGCTTATCTTTGATTTATTTTCTAATTTTCCCAGGGCTTTCCTTCCATGTTGGTTTTAATTTGTGGGGATACTTTTTTGAGCTCACCAGTGTAAGAGCGATTGATACTGGGCAACGGAACTGTTGAGACTCTGGCTCCTTCCACTCTCAGATGATTATATCTTGAGTCTAATCTTGTTTGATGGCCTGTGTTATACTTTATGAATATTATGCTCCACAATGGCCATTCTGTGCCCTATCTCAATGAGATTGCTGCTTTAGTAGTTGTTGGTATTAATAGTTAGTCTTCAATTTATTTTTTGGGCTCATGCTCATGAAAATGCAAATGCAAGGTGATGCATTTTGGAAGATCCAGTTCAAGGGCGAACTACACAGTAAATGGAAAAGCCCTGGGGAAAATTGATGCACAGAGAGATCTGGGTGTTCAGGTCCATTGTACACTGAAGGTGGCAACACAGGTGGATAGAGTGGTCAAGAAGGCATACGCACGCTTTCATTCATCGACGGGGTATTGAGTACAAGAGTTGGCAGGTCATGTTACAGTTGTATAGGACTTTGGTTCGACCATGTTTGGAATACTGCGTACAGTTCTGGTCGCCACATTACCAAAAAGATGTGGATGCTTTGGATAGGGTGCAGAGGAGGTTCACCAGGATGTTGCCTGGTATGGAGGGCACTAGCTATGAAGAGAGGTTGAGTAGATTAGGATTATTTACATTAGAAAGATGGAGGTTGAGGGGGGACCTGATTGAGGTCTACAAAATCATGAGAGGTTTAGACAGGGTGGATGGCAAGAAGCTTTTTCCCAGAGAGGGGGACTCAATTACTAGGGGTCACGATTTCAAGGTGAGAGGGGAAAAGTTTAAGGGAGATATGTGTGGAAAGTTCTTTATGCAGAGGGTGGTAGGTGCCTGGAACGTGTTGCCAGCGGAGGTGGTAGAGGCGGGCACGATAGCGTCATTTAAGATGTATCTAGACAGATACATGAATGGGCAGGGAGCAGAGGGATACAGATCCTTGGAAAATAGGTGACAGGTTTAGATAGAGGATCTGGATCGGCACAGGCTTGGAGGGCTGAAGGGCTTGTTCCTGCGCTGTAATTTTCTTTGTTCTTTGTTCTTTGAAAAGATTATTTGAGACTGCCTCAAAGGAGACCTCCTGGCTCCTCAGAAACTACATGGAATCTCTTGCATTCATTTGAACAAACAGATGGAGATATAGCCTCCTTTTGCATATTACCTCCATAATTACTTTGATTATATGCTCCAATCTGTAGTGACATTGGTACATTCCATATTCTGATTGAGGGGAAAATGTTACAAGGGTATCAATGATTCGAGTCAGGCTGTCTTTTCCTTCAGTGCTGATTTGTTTTGGAGTTGGCTGCTGTAAGTGCATCTGTGGTTACTGAGGCTGGTCTCCAGTGGCCAGCAAACCTCAAGCTTATAGGTGCTGCTTGGAACATGTAGGAGAGATGAGGATAACAATCTGATACAAGTGACTACAATGCTGCAGTTGCAGAAGCTTTGGCATGGACTAGTTGGACCAAAGTGTCTGTTTCCATGGTGTATGACAAAGATACAAACCTGTTAACATGAAAATATTCTTTTAGCTTAAAATAGAACTGGAGATTTGAGGCACCTATTTCTGAATGTAATTAACTCCCATATTTTTTGTTCATTGCTACTCATCACTCTCCATTGGAGAGGTGATCAAACTTAGACAAATACTAATGCAACCATTTCCGAGCAGATGAGTACATAGTCATTCTTCTTTGATGTTCCTTTCATACTTTGAATCTTCACCCTGCTGATCTTGAAGGGAGTGGGAACTTATTAAGCAAATTAGTGTAATATAATTGTCTGAATATGGCGATAGATCCAGCGAACCATCGGTCAACGTGAAATGCAAGACAACATTCAAGTAACATTTTTTTTCTCTTCCATTCCTAAATGGCTTCAGCACGATGGTTGTCACAGTTTAAGTTATTCCATACTCTCCTTTTCTGAAATTAGATCAATACTTTCCTTATAAGAACATGTCTGTTATGAGCTGAGAGCTCAATTTTTACCCTGCAGTACAAAATCATCAAATCCAAGTTTGCGAATTAATCATGGTGCTAGTAAATTGTTTATTGAAAGATATTTGAAGAGGCCGTTCTGCTTTCAGTTTAGAAGATGAGAATATTTCCATGTCAAACCTCTTGTGCAGGTCAACCTACTGCTCATGTTTATCAACAAATAAGATGATTTACCAGAGCAGAAAAGCCAACAAAATCAGGAGGAAATAAAAACAGTATGGGATATCAGGTGACCATAAGAGCGAGGAAAAGAATTAGGCCATTCAGCCCACCAAGTCTGCTCCACCATTTGATCATGGCTGATAGGTTTCTCCTTACTTTTCCCTGTAACCTCTGATCCCCTTACTAATCAAGAACCTATATATCTCTGTCATAAAGATTTTGAATGACTTGGCCTCCACAAACATCTATGGCAGTGAGTTCTACTTTTAACCACTCTATGGCTGAAGAAATTCCTCCTCCTCTCAGTTCTAGAGGGTCATCCTCTCGCTCTGATGCTGTGTCCGTGGGTCCTCATCTCTCCTACTAGTGGAAACGTCTTAATATCTACTCTTTCCAGACCTCTCAATATTCTAAATTTCAATCTGACTCCCCTCATCCTTCTAAATTCCAAGTACAGACCCAGAGTCCTCAACTGCTCCTCATATAACAAGCCCTTAATCTCTGGGATCATTCTTGTGAACCTCTTCTGGACTGTCTCCAACACTAGCACATCCTCCCTTAGGTTTGGGGCCAAAAACTGTTTTCAGTATTCTGAATGTGGCCTGACCAGAGCCTTACATAGCCTCAGCAGCACTCCCTACTTTGGTATTCGAGTCATCTCAGAATGAATATTAACTGTACACTTGCCTTCCTAACTGAACTGCCAACTGAACCCATTGTGTTCAATCTGCCACTTCTTTGCCCACCCTCTTAGCTTGTCCAAGTCCTTCTGCAGCCTCCCTGCCTCCTCAACACTACCTGTCCCTCCACTTATCTTTGTGTCATCTGCAAACTTAGCAACAATGCCCTCAGTTCCTTCATCCAGATATTATCGTATAATGTACATAGTTGTGATCTCAACACAGTCACCTGCAGAACTCCAGTAGTCACCAAATGCCATCCTGGAAAAAACCCCTTTATGCCCACATTCTACCTTCTGTCTGTCAGCTATTCATCTATCTGTGCCAGTCCCTTATCCCAAGACCATGTGCTTTTATTTAGCAACCTCCAATGCGCTACCTTGTCTAAGACCTTCTGGAAATTCAAATACATGGTGTCCCTAGGCTGTCCTTTGTCTAACTTGTTTCCTCTTCAAAGAATTCTGACAGATTTATCAGGCATGACCCCACACTTGACAAAGCTGTGCTGACTCAGCCGTCTTTTATCATCAACTTCCACTTACTCCGCAATCTCATCCTTAGTAACGAACTCTGAAATCTTACCAATGACCAAGGTCCAGCTAACTAGCCTATAATTTCCTGTGTTCTACCTCTCTCCCTTCTTAAATGGGGTGTTACATCAGCCATTTTCCAGTTCTCTGGGGCTCTCCCTCACTCCAATGATTCCTGTTCACAGCTGTATCACTCCGTTTCATGTTCTTTTTCACTTAAAATCCTATAACCTAAGCCACACCCTGATGGCATACTTCCTTTCTCCAAATACTCCCCCAGCTCTGAGGCAGCTCATAAACCTGTCATGGCAATGACATGTTACTTTTGTTCAACAGACAAAGAAATTCTTAGCAAAATATAGTTTCAAAGAATCTATAGGAAAGATGCTGAGTTCCAAGGAGATTCTACCTTTAAAGCTGAAACAAGTTCTTTGAAGATTATATCAGTCAATGAATGATGAACCACCACATCAATCCTAAATCAATTTCACAATGTTGCCTCATTAACATTACTGGTGTATAGACTGCAAACTCATGTATCCTCACAAATTGATATAACCAAGTCTGACACATTCGATTGGTAGAAATATATTTGACACAGTTGCATTATTCTAGCAATGGTAAGGGCTGTTTGTATTGCAGCATAGTTCTGTCCTCCATGATTCACATCATACTTTTATAACCACCTTTCAGCTGGACAGGATCTGAATAACTTAACTATTATGGCAAGGAGAAATCATCCTTTTTATTAAGAGGAACTAATGAATCTTCTGAGACAACAAGGTGCAGGGCTGGATGAACACAGCAGGCCAAGCAGCATCATAGGAGCATGCTGCTTGGCCTGGTGTGTTCATCCAACCCTGCACCTTGTTGTCTCGGATTCTCCAGCATCTGCAGTTCCTACTATCTCTAATGAATCTTCTGTTATCTATTGTGTAGTTCACTGTTTCCAGATGTGGTGAACTGCATGCAGACTGACAACCTGGAGTTGAAGAAGCTGGTTTATCTTTACCTCATGAATTACGCCAAGAATCAGCCTGACATGGCCATTATGGCTGTCAACAGCTTTGTCAAGGTACAGTAACGGAAAGTTGATAAATCCCTTGAGTCATCGTACTTCCCAGGGTTTTTCAGAGTCGTACATATCAAAACATCCTGTGCCCGATTTCTGCTGTGAACGAGGATGAAGAGCTGAAGTTGAGTCCTGCACCCTTGGATTAAGGGGCACATCAGCAATTCACTGTTTTTGTGTTATGTCATTATCTAATAATGACTCCTGTTGGAAACTGATTGGGTTTGGCGCTTCCACAACAAAATAAATTCCTGATTCCCCCTACATCAGCTTAATTGTAAAGAAAGGCCAGTTGACAAAAAAGTGTGGTTGATGCCTGAAAAATACATACTACTGAGTTGGTTTCAGGGCAAAGATAGTCTTTGTGAAATGTAAAAAATTATGTTTTGGAAGTAGTGATTAAAATAGTTTTGTACTGAGAACAGTTTGGACTCATTGAGACACTGGTTTGATAACGTATTTTACTGTCACTATATTCCTGCTGCTTCATATGAACAAGTCTTGATAATTAATGTTCTTACTGTAATTTGATCAGTACGGATAAATTGCATGAAATCTATGCTGTTCTTTCCTGTGCCCCCAATTATACATCACTAATTTCCCGAGAGCCCCATCAGTGATTATCTCAGCATGTTTTATTCTGTGCCTTATAACTGCAATTGCGAGATTGTGATAAAGCCAATAAAGAAGGAGGGCAAGTTTCCTGATCTGGCCTGAACTACTGTAGTACATTCACATGAAAACAAAGCTCAGGGGACAGATTTCATAGCTTATCAGAGCTGAGACGGAAGGCAGCAAGGTGAACAGGTCCTCCTAAGTAATTAGTTATATACAGCAATCGTAATTGCATTTCAATCTTTAAAGCATCGTTAGGATACTTGGATTGTAATTTGTCTTCAATTTCAAACTACCCAGTGGTCATAAGGACACAAAATATTGTTAGTGATCTGGCTGAGCGGAATCCATCAGCAAACATGTTTTGGCAAACATGTTTTGGATTAAGGAATGAGGAATATGAGAAGTCACTTAGCAAGTTTCTTATGACAAATCCTATCTAACTTAATGGCAGGCTTTGAACTACCGTGCATGAGTAGTCCTTGCTGAATTGGTTCAGGTCAAACCCAAGTGCTAAGGAAGTAGATGATGTTGGATCATGCCAGACATTGGGGTATTGCCTCTGGGAATCCGAATCAAATTAGTTATAGAGTTGTACAGCACAGAAACAGACTCTTCAGTCCAACACTTCTGTGCTGATTAGAAATCCCAAATTCATCTCATCCCATTTGTCAACATTTGGCCCATATCCCTCTAAACCCTTCCTATTCATGTACCCATCCAGATGCCTTTTAAATGTTCTAATTGTACCAGCCTCCACCACTTCCTGTGGCAGCTCATTGCATACACGCACCACCCTCTGTGTGAAAACGTTGTCCCTTAGATCCCTTTTATATCTTTCCCCTCTCACCTTAAACCCATGTCTTCTAGTTTTGGACTCCCCTACCCTGGGAAAAATTGTCAAACCAAATTGATCAAATCTTTATTAGAAGCTAATTCTTCTCTGACTTGTAGAGTTTGAATGTATAATGAGTTTAGACAGTTTCAAACTAATTCTTTGTTAAGATGGGTTTTATGTGGTCTTGCCCTTAGCAATCAGTTGACACTTTCACTCTGCCTACAAGGTAGGTGATAGGAGCTGTAGTATAAAGTCATAGACATGTGATAGTGTTTTACTGATGCTTTGAGGGTGGAGCTTCACATTGCTCTTTGTTCTAGTATAACAGCTTCTGAAGCCTGGTTGACAGCACTAAAATCAAAATGTTTCATTTCTTATGTGTATGCAATGCAACAACAAAACTCTTTGGCAATTTTAACCAAATATCTCCAGGTCTAAAATCAGAAGAGTATATGAACGTTGGCATTTCTTTTCATTGTAATATCTAAAATGATTTCATTCCCACAGGATTGTGAAGATCCTAACCCCTTGATTAGAGCTCTGGCAGTCCGTACAATGGGCTGCATACGTGTGGATAAAATAACAGAGTATCTTTGTGAGCCTCTCCGCAAGTGTTTGAAAGATGAAGATCCGTATGTTCGGAAAACCGCTGCTGTCTGTGTGGCCAAACTGCACGATATCAATGCTCAGATGGTAGAGGATCAAGGCTTCCTGGATTCACTGCGAGACCTAATTGCTGACTCAAACCCCATGGTATGGCACTTACTGCTATTTTTCAACTGTGTTTTGTGGTTTGACTTGTGCTGCATCTTTTTCCTATGCATTGAAACATGGCTGAGATTAACCATCTGCTAAGGTCTGATTATAGTGGACTTACTGATGCCATATAGAAAGTCAAAGTCTTGTTTGCTGTACAACTTACTGACCTAGCTTCCTTTATGAAATGAGTTTAGGTAGTTTTGCTTGTGGACATAGACAGCCTACTTCGATTTATAAACTGTAAACGCAAATCAAAAGATATAAGATTCTGCACAAGTGTGTTTCTCAAGTTCCTGATCTTAGGGTGGCTGTTATCCTAAAACATAGCAGGACTCATAAGGTACAGTATGTACAGATTCCATGAACAAAGAAATTACACTGCAGCGGGAGCCTATTCATCTCACTGTAATTTTGCCGGTGTCTTTAAACTGGGGTTGTCTACTATTATTTCATTTCCCTGCCCATGCTTTTTCTGATGCTTGTCCATTTTCATTTTAAATTATATCATGATCTTTGAATTAAAAGCTGCTTGTTGTAAAATAGTCCAATGACTTTGCATAAGTCTGACTTGCTTCTCCTCTCCTTCTACCAGAGATGATCAAGGCTCCCTCATTTCTGTTCCATCAATTATACCTCAAAGCCTTTTTTTCATTTTAAAAAGTTATTGGATCCTGCTTTAATCTTCTACCGAAAATGATCCTACTTTATAAAAAACAAAATCTTGAAGAATTGATCATATCTAGTGAGAGAAACAGTGTTGATGTTTCGAGTTCACTATACCTCCTGTTTGGAACTGAAAAGAGGCAAAAATATGATTTTGATGAAAAGGTGGAGAAGCAAGTGCAAAAGAGAAGGTCTGAACATGTTAGCAGGTCCACCTTTTAGGACTGAGATGAAGTGGATTCTTTTCTTTTGAGGTAGCAAGAACTGCAGTTGCTAGAAGTCAGAGTCAATTCCGTGTGGAGCTGGAGGAGCACAACAGGTCAGGCAGCATCAGAGGAACAGGAAAGTTGACATTTCGGAGCGGGACCCTTCATCAGGACTCTGAGGGGTCTCGACCCAAAATGTTGACTTTTCTGCTCCTCTGATGCTGCCTGACCTGCTGTGTTCCTCCAGTTCCACACTGTATTGAGTCTTTCTTTTCTTTTGAGGGTTGCGTGACTTTGGAACTCCTACCTCATGAAAAGGGGAAGGCTGATTGATTCCCTTACCTAAAGTGGATCGAAGGTTCTTGAAGATGGGTGGGAATGTGGAATTTGGAACGCAAACAGATCAGCAATGATCATGATGGTGGAGCAGGCTTGAAGGGCCAAGTGGCCTAATGTTCCTAATAAAGGTATCATGAAATAAAGGCAAAGTGAGTGATAGTGGCTGGATTGACGAAACTAGGCATTGGTCCAGGGAAGATGTTAATGCACATTTTTCCCAAAATTATGAAAATCCATCCTTAATACAATTGTCATGAGCCTTCACTTTTAATATTCTTAGTATAATATAATGCCAAAACCTTGATGCAATATAGTAGTGATGGCGTAACCAATGTGTTTTTCACATCGTTTCCTTGCTTTTGTATCCAGCACCCTAGGTTATAAAGTTTGGGCTGCAAGACTTTTTCTATCTGTAGTCCCATCTTTAAATATCTGTGTGGCTGCCTTCTTGATTTTCTCCATTTCTCCACTGTCCTAAAAGTTCAGGCTGTCTATGTTTTTACTGTTCTTTTATCTCCAAGATATACTGCTTCAGAGTTCTCAACATTGAACTGCATCTGCCATGTATTTGTCACTCCACTGACATCATTTTAGGTAATACAACACACAACAGGCCACTCAGCTGAATGAACCTTTAGAGATAGACAGTTAATTCCTAAGTCCATTCCCCTCAAATTCCCCATAGCTGGGTAATATTTCCTTTTGGACTATATGTCCAACTGCTTCTTGAGAGTAATTATGTGACCTGCTTCCAATTCAACCACTTTTTATACTGTTGCTGAGTTTCCTTCATCAGCAAATGTCTTTCTAAATGTTAAATCTGTGAGATACTACAGAAAGTGGTGTGCACAGCCCAGACCATCACGGAATTCCATCCGTGGACACAATTTACGCAACTCGTTGCCGCGAAAAGGCTGCCAACGTCAGCAAAGACCCATCGCACCTCAGCAATGATCTCCTACAACCTCTTCTGTCAGGCAGAATATGCAGAAGTTTGAAGACCTGTAACAGCAGGTTCAAGCAACACAAGTTCCCGGCTGTTGTTAGATTGATGAATGGACTCTCTACCCTGGCCCTGTGCAATGTAACCTATATGCCTCTATCTAAGTTGTTTTTTTAAAACCTTTGATCCGTACATCGTTGTTTACTATGATCTGCCTGAAGTGCTCTTAAACAAAACATTTCACTGGACTTCAGTACATTTGACAATGACTCAATCAATCAGTCTTGTAAAGTTATTGAGAACAGGTAGACAGGATGGTGTAGAAGGCGTTTGGCACGCTTGGCTTCATCGGCCAGAGCATGAGTACAGGAGTTGGGATGTCTTGTTATGGCTGTACAAGACATTGGTAAGGCCACATTTAGAGTACTGCGTACAATTATGGTTGGCTGCTGTAGGAAGCAGTTTTAAACTGGAAAGAGTGCAGATAAGATTTAAGAGAATATTACCAAGACTGGAATGTTTGAGTTATAAGGGTAGGCTGGGACTTTACTCCTTGCAGCATAGAAGGCTGAGGGGTGAACCTATAGAGATTTATAAATCATGATGGGTATTGATAAGGTGAATAGCAAGGGTCTTTTCCCCTAGGATAAGGGATGTGGGACAACATTTTTACAGAGAGTGGTTCATGTGTAGAACCAACTGCCAGAAGAAATGGTGGATTCAGGTACGGTGACAACATTTAAAAGTACGATAGGTATGTGATTCGGCAAGGTTTGGAAGGCTATGGGCTGAACACAGACAAGTGGGATGAATTTAGTTTGGGAATATGGTTGGCATGGACTAGTTGGACCGAAGGATCTGTTTCTGAGCTGTATGACTCTATAACCATACCCTTGTTTGCATTGAGTGAAATTGCTCTCATTTCTATTCTTGAATAAGTTGCCTCTTACTATAGATTTCTTCATCTGAATCTTGGGTTCTTCATTCCCTGATTGTCTCCTTTTCATGATAAATAACCAGGTTCTGTTGTGTTAATGGCCTTGTTGACCAGGCTGAAGATGAATAAGATCTTCAAGAATATTCGCTGGGATGCATCGTGGCTACATGTGGTCCTTGCTTGTGCACATGTAGATGCTCACAGTCAGGATACACATTATTCCCCTCTTTAGCTCAGGCTGGCATGGAAGTATGATGTTTTGCTGACTTTGTTCAGACCAGCTAATTCAGAGACCAAGGATTAATCTTGGTACTTTGCTGACTTGTATGGATTCATCATTTAAAAGGCATCTGAAGGGTATATGAATAGGATGGATTTAGAGGTATATGGGCTAAATGCTGGTAAATGGGACTGGATTAAGTTAGGATATCTGGTTGGCATGGTCAAGGGTCTGTTCCCCTACATCTCTATGAATCTATGACCATACGAGGTAGTATTGACCCCTCTGAGTGACCAGGAAAGTTTCCTGATTCTTCACTGGATCAGCAAATGTTGATCTAAAAATGGAATATAAACGTAAATTTGTACGAAAGCCTCATTGTTACATATTAATGAAATTAGGATGACAGGGAATGTCCCACGGTGACTAGTGACCTTAAGTACATCTTCCTGGGAAGACAGAACGGTTAAGGTTTTACAGCATCTTACTGCAGTCGCGAGACATTCAGTTTGGACCTAGAGATTTTTTTTGTTTACAGAATTAGATTTTCACATGTCTTGGGAGGAGGCATAATTATTTCATGGCTATTTGACATATTGCACTGGAAAATCTTGCAAATATCAGAGCTCCCATAATTTGTCACTTTGGTTCAACGCAGGAAGTTGACCTGAATGTTAATATCAACAGCCATTAATTTCCTGTGCTGCAGTTGGTAAAGATGCCAATTAGCTCAGTACAGAAGGAAGCAATTTTGCCCATTGAATTGTACCTTCTCTTATGAATGAAGTATTCAGTTAATTCTATTCGACTCTCTTTCTTGAGTAAATCAGTTATTTTTCTCTATTCAATGCAAAGTTCTCCATTCTTTTGCTGTGTTTTACTTCCTCTGTCCTCTTGGCAAAAGTGATTGTTCTGCAGGCCTATTTCCTGTCTCGTGACTAGTATATACATTGACCTTGAGTGATGGCCAGAAACCACGTGTTTGAAGGCATTGGCCTGTAATTTGCATGAGAAATGACATTAATCACTATCCGCATTCACTGCTATTCCTCCTATGAAACTGACGGTAACTTCTGGAGTCTACGCATGAGCAGTTAAGTGAGAAAGTTCGCACATTGCTGTCAATGATTGTATACATCACTACAAACATGCTGAACATCTTTTCAAAGAACAAAGAAGAATACTGCACAGAACAGGCCCTTCGACCCTCCAAGCTAATGCTGAACACATTTTGCCCTTCCGTACTAAAAACTGTCTTTGCTTACAGGATCTGTATCCCTGTATTCCGTGCTTATTTGTGAAGATTCCTCCAGGTGCTTCTTGAATGCTGTTATTGTGTCTGCTTCCACCACCACTTCTGGAATTTTGTTGTAGGCATTCACCACCCTTTATGTGAAAAATGTGTCTTACGCAACTCTTTTAAACATCCCCCCTCACATTATGAACGTGTCCCGTAGTAATTGACCTTTCACCCTGTTTTTGGACACGTGGTGAACCTCTTGAATTTGTGCGAGATTCACAATAACTTTAGGAAAGGGGAAGTCCATGCCAAAAAATCACTTGCTTCGGGTTCAGAGATGAGTGCTGCTCTTTTGTCATTGCCCACAAAATCCGGTCCAGTGTATATGTCAGTCATGTTGACAGCCTCTGCAACGTTCATCTTAATGCAGGTACTTTGTGTTAAAA